TGGCCTTGCTGGCTGTGGTCTGGCATTGGCGGCTCATGTTCATCTTGGAGTCAATAATGACTCCAAGATCCCTTTCCGCCTCTGTGCTTTCAAGAAGGGAACTCCCCAGCCCGTATGTATGCTGTGGATTCCTTCTCCCAAGATGCAGCACCCTGCATTTGTCTACATTGAACTCCATCCTATTCTCGTCTGCCCACTTCCGTAGTTTGTCTAAATCTAGTTGCAGCCTCTCTCTCTCTCCCTTCGTGTGTCCACCTTGCTCTATATCTTAGTGTCATCAGCAAACTTGGACAGCATGCTTTCCACCTCCTCCTCCAAACCACTGATGAAGATGTTAAACAGTGCGAGCCCAAGGACCAAGCCCTGGGGTACCCCACTGCTCATATCTTGCCAGTTTGAGTACAACCCATCCACCACTACTCTCTGGGTGCACCCCATCAGCCAATTATTTACCCATCCAACTGTGCAGGCATCAACGCCACAGTCGCTTAATTTCTTGATGCAGATGGGGTGAGAGACAGCATCAAAGGCCTTCTTAAAGTCTAGAAAAACTACGTCCACAGCAACACCATCATCCAAGGATTTAGTTGCTTGGTCATAAAAGGCAATCAGGTTGGTCAGGCAGGACCTGCCTTTGATGAACCCATGCTGATTGCCCCTGAGCATGATCTCCCCTGCAGGCCCCCCACAGATGTGCTCGATGATTCTCTCTAAGATCTTCCCGAGCACTGAGGTGAGGCTTACAGGCCTACAGTTACTTGGGTCCTCCTTCCTCCCTTTCTTGAAAATTGGAACCACATTAGCCAGTTTCCAATCCCCCGGCACCTGGCCAGATGACCATAAATGCTCATACAGCCAGGCCAAGGGCTCCGCAATGACCCCTGCCAGCTCCCTCAACACCCTTGGGTGGAGGGCATCTGGACCTGCAGATTTAAAAATGTCTAGCCCTTCCAGAAGATCCCTAACTACATCTGCACCGACTGAAGGCCTGACAGAGCTATCCCTGAGATTGTCCCTACCTCTGGTAGGTGGGATATCCTGGTTCCTTGTTCAAGAAAAGAGGCAAAGAAACTGTTTCTCCTCAGAAATCATGAGTTCCCTCAGCCTCTCCTCAGAAGTCCTGTGTTCCAGGTTCCTAACCATGTTTGTTGACCTCTACTGGACTCTCCAATTTGTCCACAACATTTTTGTATTGGGGCACCCAAAACTGGACACAGTACTCCAGATGTGAGCTCACCAGGGCCAAATAGAGATGAAGAATCACTTCCCTCAATCTGCTGGCAACGCTCCTACCAATGT